TATACATTTGCCACTTGATGACATTATTCTAATTAAAATGTTACAATGAGTCATTGATGTGGGTTCTGGAGTGATACTGTGTCTGAAGTTTTACCTAACTTTGTTCATGTTGAGCAGTGTAAATTACGGTAAAGACCATCTTTATGCTGAAGTTTTTGTTCTAGTTTTTGATTCAGAATCTTGTACTCTTCTTAGGATGTGGCATTTTGGAAATCTTAACTGCTCATGTAGCTTTCATAATAAATGTATCATGATTACCAGAAAACTTACAGTTTGCTTCTTTACAGAAAATCATTCTGCACCTCCTGACGTAACCACTTACACCTCAGAACATGCAATACAAGTAGAAAGGCCGCAGGGCTCCACGACGTCACGGACAGCCCCGAAGTATGGCAATGCCGAGCTCATGGAGACTGGTGATGGTATGTCTTCCAGCAAGTTTTCCTCCCTTGTAAATTCCAAGTGCCCTTCTGTCCCCTGACTGGATGTGTTTCTTCTAGGGACCCAGTCGGCTCATGAACTCATCAGGGCTTTCATGAGCTTCCCTAGAAGGTGGCAGTTACAGGAAGTGCAGACTGTCTCCAAGGGCAAGAGTTACTCCTTGTTGTAGGAGTTTAGTCATGAGAAGAAAAAGATTTGATAAAATCCTGTTTTTGGTGGTGAATGATGTGATTCCACAGTTACAAAATTAGTGCAGGTGTCAGGACTATGAACAAGTACTTGGAGGTCAGTATGGAGCTAAACACAACCGAAATAATTGACAGAGATGGACAGTGTGGTGCTTTAGACTTTGGAAGAAAGAGGGTCCTTTTCTCCCTCCATGTTGAATAAAGTGTTGGTGATTTGTGTACAGCCATTGGGGTTCTCTTATTCCTTGAATCTTTCCTATTCACATGCTCTAACATCTTCCTGTTACCCCTCCTGAAGTGACAGGCTAGAACACGAACTTCATGCTTTATTTTGCTTTCCTTGACCTCCAGGGTTATGACAGTTAGCATGGAACCTGTTGATGATGTAAAGTGTTCTTTTCTTGGAAGATGTCTGTAGTAGCTTCTGTGTGCCCTCTATACCACTGAGCTTGTGTCTGTGACACAGTGACTCAGGGGTGATGAGGAGGCCTGAACCCAGCCTCCAACAGGCTGATGCCTCCTCACTGTGGTCAGAGCCCAAGGGCACTGGATTGTGAGTTCTCTGTTAGTACATCTGGAGTCAGTCCAGTGTCCAGTATGATTGGTTTCTCTGGACTGCTTCTCAGTGTTGATGTCTGTGTAGTCCTCCACTAAATCCAGTGTTCATTGAATCCGTCATAACTGTTGTCCTTGTCTTCACCACTTTAGTATCTTTGTTGTCTTTTAAATTTATTATCTTCACCTCCTCCCCCAGGTAAATTCATCTGTTGTCCAGTCCAGTGGTGTGATAGCACCTTGTATCAGAACCACATGGAGCAGTTGTTGGAAAACAGATTCTGGGCCACATCCCAAACCTAACACATGAGAAACTGTGAGCTGGGTCCTGGGATGATGTGTGTGTCCTGTTTAAGCTGGAGCACCAGTGGCCTTGAGAAATAATCTCTGATTCATCCAAACCAGATTCAGTTGAGTTTAGTTGCTCAGTTATGTCCTACTCTTTGTGACTGCATGGACTGCAGCATGCCAGGCTTCCCTGTCCATCACCAACTCCCGGAGCTTGCTCAAACTCATGTCCGTTGAGTTGGTGATGCCATCCAACCATCTCATCCTCTGTCGTCCCGTTCTCCTCCCGCCGTCAGTCTTTCCCAACGTCAGGGTCTTTTCCAGTGAGTCAGCTTTTCACATCAGGTGGCCAAAGTATTAGAGTTGCAGCTTCAGCATCAGTCCTTACAATGAATATTCAGGGCTGATTTCCTTTAGGATTGACTGGTTGGATCTCCTTGCAGTCCAAGGGACTCTTCAAGAGTCTTCTCCAACACCACAGTTCAAAAGCATCAATTCTTTAGCACTCAGCTTTTTTTTATAGTCCAACTCTCACCTCCATATATGGCTACTGGAAAAACCATAGCTTTGACTACATGGACCTTTGTTGGCAAAGTAATGTCTCTGTTTTTTAATAGGCTGTCTAGGTGGGTCATAGCTTTTCTTCCAAGAAGCAAGCATCTTTTCATTTCATGGCTACGGTCACCATCTGCAGTGATTTTGGAGCCCAAGAAAAATCTCTCACTGTTTCCAGTGCTTCCCCATCTATTTGCCATGAAATGATGGGACCAGATGCCATGATCTTAGTTTTCTGAATGTTGAGTTTTAAGCCAACTTTTTCACTGTCCTTTTTCACTTTCATCAAGAGGCTCGTTAGTTCTTCTTCACTTTCTGCCATAAGGGTGGTGTCCTCTGCATATCCAAGGTTATTGATGTTTCTCCTGGCAATCTTGATTCCAGCTTCATCTAGTCCAGCATTTCTCATGTTACACTCTGCATATAAGTTAAATAAGCAAGGTGACAATATACAGCTTTTACGTACTCTTTTCCTTGAATTTGAAATTAGTCTGTTGTTCCATGTCTGGTTCTAACTGTTGCTTCCTGACCTGCATACAGATTTCTCAGGAGGCAGGTCAAGTGGTCTGGTATTCCCATCTCTTTCAGAATTTTCCACAGTTTGTTGAGATCCACACAAGGCTTTGGTGTAGTCAGTTAAGCAGAAGTAGTTGTTTTTCTGGAACTCTTGCTATTTTGATGATCCAGCTTTGTTGGCAATTTGATCCTGGTTCCTCAGGCTTTTATAAATCCAGCTTGAATACCTGGAAATTCACGGTTCATGTACTGTTGAAACCTAGCTTGGAGAATTTTGAGGATTACTTTGCTAGTGTGTGAGATGAGTGCAATTCTGCGGTGGTTTGAACATTCTTTGGGATTGATTGCCTTTTGGGGGGATTGGAATGAAAACTGACCTTTTCCAGTCCTGTGGCCACTGCTGAGTTTTCCAAATTTGCTGACATATTGAGTGCAGCACTTTGACAGCATCATCTTTTAGGATTTGAAATAGCTCAACTGGAATTCCATCACCTCCACTAGCTTTGTTCATAGTGGTGCTTCCTAAGGCCCACTTGACTTCGCATTCCAGGATGTCTGGCTCTAGGTGAGTGATCACACCATTGTGCTTATCTGGGTTGTGAAGATCTTTTTTGTATAGTTCTTCCGTGTATTCTTGTCACCTCTTCTTAATATCTTCTGCTTCTGTTAGGTCCATACCATTTCTGTCTTTCATTGTGCCCATCTTTGCATGAAATGTTCCCTTGGTATGTCTGATTTTCTTGAAGAGATCTCTAGTCTTTCCCATTTTATTGTTTTCCTCTATTTCTTTGCACTGATCATTGAGGAAGGCTTTCTTATCTCTCCTTGCTATTGTTTGGAACTCTGCATTCAGATGGGTATATCTTTCCTTTTCTCCTTTGTCTTTAGCTTCTCTTCATTTCTCAGCTATTTGTAAGGCCTCCGCAGACAACCATTTTGCCTTTATAATTTCAAGATTGTAAAATATTTATTGTCTCAATTCTGAAAGTGCTCATAGACTATTTTGAGACTATTAAAATGGTTATTTGATAGAAAAATTTTCTTGAAAGCTGTCATACTCATTCCAAAAGCTGAGTTCTGTTTTTGTGACACTGTGTGGTAGACTGCTTCCCAGGTGACGTTAGCGGTAAAGAACCCACACCAGTGAAGGAGACATTAGGAGATACGGGTTTGATTCCTGGGTCGGGAAGATCCCCTGAGGAAGATGTGGCAGCCTAGTCCACTGTTCTTGCCTGGAGAATCCAATGGACAGAGGAGTCTGACGGGCTATAGTCCATGGATTCACAAAGTGTCAGACTTGCCTGAGAGACTGAACACACACGCATGTGCCATGGATAAAGGGCTCTGGCTCAGTCAGAACAGGAAAGACCTCTTGTGGGTGTGGTTCTTTTGTCCAGGAGCTTAGAAGGTTCTAGGCCTGTAATTTACAGGTTCAGGTTTCTAACCAGCTTTGAATAGGAATGAAATCTGCCTGCAGAGGAGGGTACATTTGATCCAAGTATGGCTTCAGTGTCTTGGTGCTCCTTCCATTCATTTATTTAAATTTTTTAAAACTTCATGTTTTTTTCACTGATCATTTTCAAAACTATGTAGCATTTATTATCCTAAGAAACGTATTATAAGGTGGGGTTATTTTCCTCAGTACATGTGGATAAATATTAATATATGTGAGTTCTGTGTTAATATCAGAAATTGAATTTAGAGACTCTTGGTTGCTTTGCTTCTAGGATGTGTTCCCTAAATGTTCACTCAGGAGAGTGGGTCTGAAAGGCATATAGAAGGGACCCGGCTGTCACCTGCAAGAGGATAGTCACACTTGTTGCACCTCAGGTCCCTGTACTTTCATCAGGAGGTGTCAGGGTGGCAACTGGAGCCTGAGCACAGGTGGTCTCAGGGGAGACTGGGACTTGGGGAAGGTCTTTGTGCTTCATCAGCTCTCTGATCAGACAGAGGAGAACCTGGGATGGGTATGGATGAGGAGATGACAGACTCTTTTTTTAGGAATAGAGGTGGGACCAAGCCCAGTCTGTGGTCTGGAGCTGTTCCCAAAGTCACCAGAGCCGGACAGCTCACAGTGTAAAGAGAATCATATACGTTTCTTAGGATAATAAATGCTACATAGTTTTGAAAATGATCAGTGAAAAAAACATGAAGTTTTAAAAAATTTAAATAAATGAATGGAAGGAGCACCAAGACACTGAAGCCATACTTGGATCAAATGTACCCTCCTCTGCAGGCAGATTTCATTCCTATTCTCTGTCAAGGCTTCCCAGCAAGGCCACATGCTGGGACCACTCTCCTCGGAGTGTTCTTGTTGACAAAAGTCATCTAAGGACACAGAGGGCACCTGGCTGAGAGGGAACAGAGTGTGGTTCCACAGCTGTTTTTACTGTGGCTGCTTGTTTGTGGTGGTTTGTGCTGAGAGTCAGTCCACCTGCCTCATGATTCTGTTTTCAGGTGTGCCTGTAAGTAGCCGCGTATCTGCAAAGATCCAGCAGCTTGTCAATACCCTCAAACGACCCAAACGACCACCCTTACGGGAATTCTTCGTTGATGACTTTGAAGAACTGCTAGAAGGTGAAAGAGCCTCCTCCTACACCCTCATCCAGTGTTTCTGTGACCCCATAAACTGTAGTTATTTCTTGACCAAGGTTGTTTGATCTTTAAAAACAATAATCTTGGTGTTCACAGGAAACAGGACTCCTGCCTAGAAACTGTAGGTACTGTTCCACAAGGTCCCTTTAAACATATGCTCAGTCCCAAAACAGCTGGGTCAATACCACTGGTACTGACTCTGAGCAGCATGTGATTTTGTCCCATGAGCCAGTCCTCTTTCTAAAGACTCCATGAAGCTACAGGAATGCAAGGAAATCAGATAACCTGAGCTCAACAAGCAGTGCATTCTCTCTGCATAGGCTTTAGAGGAATGCAGAGTGAGATGTGGAAATCTTGCCTTGCTGCCTCTCTGGACAGCTTCAGGAGCTGGATGTCATCACTCTGAACACTCCTGAGCCTTTTAATACAAGAAAACCTAAAATTGAAACAAAGTACTGCTTGTTGTATCAAACCCAGTCTCCTTATTTTCTTGGTCCTTGTGCTACAAGTAAGACACCGTTAATTTTCTAGCCAGCAGGTGGAAATCATCTGTCATATGCTATAAGAGAAACCTTCCCAGAAGTAAAAAGAATCACCTCTCAGATTCTCACCCATGTAAAGAGTCGGGCAGATTGTTTGTATTGTAAGGCATTTATCTTTGTTTTACTTAAAATATGAGCTGTGCTAATTACTCATAGTAGTTGTAGCAAATTCAAATTTACATCTCCATATTTAAGGGCACAATATACTTCAGCCAGATTTGAACTCTTTGGAGTCTATAATTACTGCTGTATGTTGAGAATTGATGTTTTAAACATGGCTATTGTAATGTTAGACTCTAGGCATGTTAAAATGCATAGTTTTACTTGTCAGTTTATAAATGCAGTCAGGTCTCCCTAAGTTCCACATCCCGACATTGCCTTGGATGTTGGAAGAATTACGTACTTTGGTTATATCCGTGAGGCTCATATGTCAGTTGTAGCTCTAATTCTAGAAAAGCATCTGCGCATGTTTCCTGTAATAAATTTTTAACTCAAGTATATAAGTCTTCTAGCTTCTTTAAAATGAATAAGAATGATTGTGCTAATAATGGATGTATTTTTCTTGAAAACCTTCTGTGTTCAAATATATTTAGTTCAACAACCAGATCCAAACCAGCCAAAGCCAGAGGGAGCCCAGATGTTGGCAATGCGTGGGGAGCAGCTGGGTGTAGTTACAAATTGGCCCCCATCTTTAGAAGCAGCATTACAGCGATGGGGGACCATTTCACCAAAGGCTCCATGCTTGACCACGATGGACACAAATGGAAAACCTCTCTACATCCTCACTTACGGTAATTCTTTGAGGTTTATCCACCTTTTGTCTGCTTGTACCTGCACGCAACTGCCAGTTTCAGGGTGGCAGTTTATGTTTGTGTTGCCTTATGTTTCCAGTATGGAAATAAATGGAACCCAAAAGGAAATATTGGATTGACCAGAAAGTTCATTTGCGTTTTCCTGTAAGATACTATTGAAAACCCAAATGAACTTTTGGGCCAAGCCAGTATAGGAAAATTATTTGATTTGAATGTGAAAAATTATTATTTGTTAATGTTTTTGAGTAAAAATCAGAAAGTGATACAAAAATCAGTAACTATAACTCTAATAATAAGATGTTGGATTTTACCTCTTGGAATGTATATTAAATTAATGCTTTGAAGAAGGATTGGTAGTTAAAGAAATGAAACAAGAAAGAATGTATATAGAACTCTTTAACATGCATCACTCAGAAGAAACAAAATCTGTTTCCACAGTGCTTTTCTAGCAAGCAAGGGAAGGAAACTTTAACTCTTTATTCAGTATGATTAATGCAGTCCATAAACTTTTGGAAATAGTTAACTATACGAGAGAGATTCCTTTCTCTTTGCTGCACAGATAAGGGGCCGTGGAGAAAGCAAACTGTCAGGTCATTTTCACACACTCTGCCACAGTGTTGCAAAGAAATCAGCTTCATAACTAAAAGACACTATGGCTTATATCTGCACATGTGAGGTTACATTACCGTTTTTAACTTCCAGTTTTATTTCTATGATAATAATGCTCTTCTAATTGCAGGTAGAAAAGAAACTTTTCTCCATTAGCAATGGAGGTCAAGAGCCAGGTGTTGTGTTAAGTAACATAACCCAGCTTTTAGTGGGGCCCAGAAGGCCCCCACTGTAGACTCCATCATTATCCTGCGCATCTCATGGAAGGAAATGGGATTCAGGAGCGTTTGTTTTCATAGTCTCAATTTTTTTCTTCTGACTTTGTTGGGAAATTCTTAGTGGATAAAGGGTATTTTACCCATAATGGGGCATAGGATTGATTTTTTTTTTTTTAATTATACTCTTAGAAATAGATTTTAGTCAGTCAGAAAGAAGACTTTCCTGTCTGACCCTTGTCCCTTGCCAGATTCAGACAAGGAGCTGATTGGATACTGTTTTCCAAGTATTATTTATTGAAAGACTGTCCTTTTCCCTTTCTTGGCTCCTTTGTCATAAATCAGTTGACATATATGTGTGGGTTTATTTATGGGTTATTCTGTTTCATTGATCTATATTTCTGATTTTGTGCCAATATCATACTGTTCTTATTACCGGTAGTAAGTCAGGGAGCATGATGTCTCTAGCTTTGTTTTTCTTTCTTAAGATGACTTTGGCCATTTGGGGTCTTTCATGGTTTCATACAAATTTTAGAATTGTTTGTTCTATTTCTGTGAACAGTGCTGTTGGAATTTTGATTGGGATTGGATTTAGATTGCTTTGCGTAGTACAGATACTTTAACAAAACTGCTTTTTCTAATCCATGAGCACAGAATATCTTTCCATTTGTTTGTATTATCTTCAGCTTTATCAAAGTCTTACAGTGTGTGTTTTTTTTTTTAAGATGCAGATTTTATGGGGCTTCATTTTCATTGTGCTTTTTGTAGTGTTTTTTTGTTTGTTTGTTTGTTCTTTGCCGCACCATGCGGCATGCTGGATCTTAAGTTCCCAACCAGGGATCAGACCTGTGCCCCCTGCAGTGGAAGCACAAGGCCTTAAAACACCAGACCTCCAGGAAAGTCCCAAGTCTTAACAATTTTGAATGTACAGGTCTTTTACCTCCTAATTAAGTTTATTTTGAGGTATTTTATTCCTTTTGATGTTGTTATAAATAGGATCTTTTTCTTGGTTTCTCTTTTTAGTAGTTTATTATCAGTATATAGACAGCAGTTTTCTGATAACACCAGTATATTGATTTTGTATTTTGCCACTTTACTGAATTCATTTATTACTCTGTTTTTTTCTGTTTTGTCTTAAGGTTTTCTATGTATAATGTCATGTTATCTGCAAGTAGTGACAGTTTTTCATCTTCCTTTTCGAGTTTGGATGCTTTTTTTTTGCCTGGTTACTCTGTCTAGGACTTAACAATACTATATTGAATAAACATGGCAAAAGTGAGCATCCTTGTCTTATTTCTGAATCTTAGAGGAAATGCTTCAGCTTTACACTGTTGAGTATGCTGATAGCTGTGACTTTGTCATATAGGACTTTTAGTTTGTTGAGGTATGTTTTCTCTGTACCCACTTTGTTGAGAGTTTTAATCATAAATGGATATTGAATTAAAAAATTTTTTTTCTGCATGAGCTGAGATGGTCATATGATTTTTATCCTTCATTCTGTTAATGTGTCATATTAATCACATTAATTAATTTGTGGATGTTGAACCATCCTTGCATCTCTGGAATAAATCCCATTTGTTCATGGTGTATGATCATCTTAACATATTATTGAATTTGGTTTGCTAATATATTGTTGAGGATTTGTGCATCTGTGTTCTTCAGGCCTCTAATTTTCTCATGGTGTCCTTGTCTTGTTTTGATACCGGGATAACACAGGCCTTGTAAAATGAGTTTGAAAGTGTTTTCTCGTCTTTTGTTTTTGGAAGAATTTATAAGACTGCTTTAGTGGTGATGAATTCCTTTAACTTTTTGCTTGTCTGAAAAACTTTATCTGTTGTTCAGTTCTGAATGATAACTTTGCCTGGGTGAGTGTTCCTGGTTGGGAATTTTTTTTCATTCTCCTTTCTAAATCAGTCAAGAACTATTGTATTGTCTTTAATTTAAATCAGCAATTTGCTGTTTACTTTTTCTACTAGAAGAATATTTCTAGAACTTTGCCAAAGTGTGTTGTTGCCTTTTTCAAATTGTCTGTTGTAAATCGGCTTTTGTATGACTTTATGATGATATCAACTTTAATATTCCAAACCAAGAATGAAGTTGAAATTTTTAAGAAAATATAATGGTGCTCATTGATTGTAATTGTAGTTTACAACACATTGATTTTTTGTTTCAGTTAAAACAAGTTGATTGTAATTGTTTGTTCAGCCAAAATAGTTTCCTAACATTGTTCACATTAAAGAAATCTGACAGCACAGAGTATTTGTGATTTCTTTAGGAAAAATATAACTCCCTGAGTTATTTCTAATGGCTGGTAACTCTTTGGGGAGAAAATACAATCACCAAATAAAAACCAAATAATTGTAAAGTAGCCAGTCTTGAGGAGGTGGAGTTAAGAAAGGTGGAAGAGGGGTGTGAATAAAATATCACAGTAATTACTCTCAGTACTCAAGAAATAGGCTCAAATGAATACTGTAATTTTGTGCTTTTTACAACTTGGTTAATATGCTGTTAATAAAACAAACATTTGTTGAGCACATGCTATGAGCCAGGAATGTCTAGGAATTACAGGAATCAGAAACAGTGGAAAAGTCCTCTTTGTCCCCTAATCACTAAGGGGGGAGACAAGTTGATAAATCCATTGGTAGGAAGACAGGAGCAACCCTAAATTGTGTTGCTACAGAATCCAATATGGAATAAGACAAATTCAGATTCTTTTCATTCAAACTGTATATTTATAAATTTAGCTTTTACATTTTAAATAGGAAGGAGATTAGAACAGAGATTGCATTTATAAGAAATAGTTCAAATTGTTGTTATCTTTACTATACTATTGTTTCCCTGGTGGCTCAGCTGATAAAGAATCCGCCAGCAATGCAGGAGATCCTGGTTTGATTCCTGGGTCGGGAAGATCTGCTGGAGAAGGAATAGACTACCCACTCCAGTATTCTTGGGCTTCCCTTGTGGCTCAGATGGTAAAGAATCCACCTGCAGAGTGGGAGACCTGGGATTGGTCCCTGGGTTGGGAAGATCCCCTGAAGAAGGGAATGGGTATGCACTCTAGTATTCTGACCTGGAAAATTCCATGGACAGAGGAGCCTGGCAGACTACAGTCCATGGGGTCACAAAGAGTAGAACAAGACTGAGAGACTTTCACTTTACTATTATTGCAAATCTCTTAACACCTTGACTGCTTCTGAAAGCTTATAGAACCTAATGTTGTAAAAGCCCTTTATGTGTCCAAGAATTCATGTTAGATTTTAAAAGTCATTTTGATTCAATCTCAGACTGTTTGCTGTCACCTTGACCTGCTGAGAAAATGTCTGGCACTGGGAGGAAGGCAGGGATTTGAATCTGCAGGTTCTTCAAAACTGGTCATTTCTCTTATGTTCTTAAAAATCTTTTTAACACTGCTTTGTAGTGTTTTTTTCCCCAGAGTTCAAAACTTTAGTTCAGGATTCTTACCATAATCTTTATCTAAATTCAAGGGTTACTGTCTAAAAACCCTAAAATTCTGAAGTTAGGAAAAATTAAAGTTGAGAAACTTAGGACATAGGGAAGGAGGGATATCAGACTCTACAGAACCCATCCTAAGTAGCCATTATGTTTGTTGTAATCACACAAATCACTTAAGATTGTATTATACAGTGGAAGTGACAAATAGATTCAAAGGAAAATTCCACGGACAGAGGAGCCATGATCTGATAGAGTACCTGAAGAACTATGGATGGAGGCTCATGACATTGTATAGGAGGCAGTGATCAAGACCATCCCCAAGAAAAAGAAATGTAAAAAGGCAAAATGGTTGTCTGCGGAGGCCTTACAAATAGCTGAGAAATGAAGAGAAGCTAAAGACAAAGGAGAAAAAGAAAGATACACCCATCTGAATGCAGAGTTCCAAACAATAGCAAGGAGAGATAAGAAAGCCTTCCTCAATGATCAGTGCAAAGAAATAGAGGAAAACAATAAAATGGGAAAGACTAGAGATCTCTTCAAGAAAATTAGACATACCAAGGGAACATTTCGTGCAAAGATGGGGACAATAAAGGACAGAAGTGGCATGTACCTAACAAGCAGAAGGTATTAAGAAGAGGTGACAAGAATACACAGAAGAACTATACAAAAAAGATCTTCACAACCCAGATAAGCACAATGATATGATCACTCACCTAGAGGCAGACATCCTGGAATGTGAGCTAAGTGGGCCTTAGGAAACATCACTATGAACAAAGCTAGTGGAGATGATGGAATTCCAGTTGAGCTATTTCAAATCCTAAAAGATGATGCTGTGAAAGTGCTGCACTCAATATGTCAGCAAATTTGGAAAACTCAGCAGTGGCCACAGGACTGGAAAAGGTCAGTTTTCATTCCAGTCCCCCAAAAAGGCAATGCCAAAGAATGCTCAAACTGCTGCACAATTGCACTCATCTCACATGCTAGTAAAGTGATTCTCAAAATTCTCCAAGCCAGACTTCAACAGTACTTGAACTGTGTACTTACAGGTGTTCAAGCTGGATTTATGAAAGCCAGAGGAACCAGAGATCAAATTACCAACATCTGTTGAATCATTTGAAAAAGCAAGAGAGTTCCAGAAAACCATCTACTTCTGCTTTATTGACTACACCAAAGCCTTTGACTGTGTGGATCACAATAAACTGTGGAAAATTCTGAAAGAGATGGGAATACCAGACTACATGACCTGCCTCCTGAGAAATCTGTGTGCAGGTCAAGAAGCAACAGTTAGAACCGGACATGGAACAACAGACTGGTTCCAAATCAGGAAAGGAGTACTTCAAGGCTGTATATTGTCACCTGCTTATTTAACTTATATGCAGAGTACATCATGGGAAATGCTGGGCTGGATGAAGCACAAGCTGGAATCAAGATTGCCGGGAGAAACATAACCTCAAATACGCAGATGACACCACCCTTATGGCAGAAAGTGAAGAAGAACTAAAGCCTCTTGATGAAAGTGAAAGAGGAGAGTGAAAAAGCTGGCTTAAAACTCAACATTCAGAAAACTAAGATTATGGCATCCAGTTCCATCACCTCATGGCAAATAGATGGGGAAGCACTGGAAACAGTGAGAGACTATTTTCTTGGGCTCCAAAATCACTGCAGATGGTGACTGCAGCCATGAAATGAAAAGACGCTCCTTGGAAGAAAAGGTATGACCAACCTAGACAGCCTATTAAAAAGCAGAGACATTCCTTTGCCAACAAAGGTCCATCTAGTCAAAGCTATGGTTTTTCCAGTAGTCATGTATGGAGGTGAGAGTTGGACTATAAAGAAAGCTGAGTGCCGAAGAATTGATGCTTTTGAACTGTGGTATTGGAGAAGATTCTTGAAGAGTCCCTTGGACTGCAAGGAGATACAACCAGTCCATCCTAAAGGATATCAGTCCTGGGTGTTTATTGGAAGGACTGATGCTGAAGTTGAAACTCCAATACTTTGGCCACCTGATGGGAAGAACTGAGTCATTGGAAAAGACTGATGCTGGGAAGGATTGAAGGGGGAAGGAGAAGGGGACAACAGAGGATGAGATGGTTGGATGGCATCACCAACTCGATGGCCATGAGTTTGAGTAAGCTCTCGGAGTTGGTGATGCACAGGGAAGCCTGGTATGCTGCAGTCCATGGGGTTGCAAAGAGTCAGCCATGACTGAACTGAACCACACAAAACAGGACTCATTAAAAGAGGAAAATATGTGTCATTTTGAACATGAATTAGTGGTAACTCACTAATGCCATGGCCTCTCCCCTGTTTTACTCCCTAGAAATCCTCCCTTAACTTCTGTGATGGTAGTTAAATTCTCTGTGGCTTTGCTGTAGGTTCTTAGCACCCTAGCTGTTTGTATTTAATACCTTATTCTGGTGTTCAGGCTGCTTATATTTTTTAAGTCAGAGTTGCTGGCTTTTGTTTCCCATCTGGGGTCTAAGGACTCAGAATAACTTGAAAGCTTAAAATGAAAAGGTAATACACTCAATATAGGTTAATGTGCATACATATACACAATAGAAAATGCATGTGTACAATTAATTGTGTCTTTATAATTTGTATTGATAGGCAAACTGTGGACAAGAAGTATGAAGGTTGCTTACAACATTCTGCATAAATTAGGTACAAAACAAGAGCCTATGGTGCGACCTGGAGATAGGGTAAGTGCAATTTAAACTATTGCATCTGCAGGACACGTGATCTGAGGTGGAGAAGACACCTACTGTTTTAAAGTTGCAAAGTTTAATGCCTCCTAATATTCATATTACCAAATCAGGCTTTCTTAATATTTATCACAGCCCAGGAGAAATTATTCAGCAGGTGTAATGTTAATAGTAGCTCAGTGAGCTTGACTGTAGTAGTTCTCATGGGTTATCCACAAGGAAACTGGGACTTGAGAGAATAAGAGTCATATCAGATGAAGGCATGTGTCCAGAAAATGGTGTAGCCAGTGCTCACAGCCATTTCTGTCCAGGCCCAGGACATATGTTCCAACCCCTGACACATGTGACCTAATGTGAAACAGCTGTCTGTCTGAAGACGCAGGACAGTTGTGTGCTTGTGGACTTTTTTATATCAGTCAGTGATACCAAGAATCCTTGCAGCAAACCGCAGGTACATTCCTTTACTAGTATTAAATTTGTAGATACAGGCTACTATCTTTCGTCAAGAAGAATTTTATTCTTACTGCAGTATGCCAGTTTACTGAGAATAGATGTTAGTATTTCCTTTTTAATGTTACACACAGAGCAGTTAATCTGGCCCAAGCTTTACCTGTGAATAAGATGAAGGCCTACATGTAGAACCTACTTTTCTTGCCTTAAGTGGAGTGACTTTTTTTCCACATATTGCTCTGTACCTTCATGCCCCAAGACTGGGTTATCCACCTGCACCAAAGGACTCCAAATGAATTTTATAGAGGTTTCATTGTAGAGCACCATAAATGAGCAAGAATACAAGCTATGATTTATTTATGAGATATTACAAAAGCATGGGTTTGTTAGAGGAATGTTTAATAAGATTACCACAGCCCTAGGATTCTGTGGTAGGCTATGATTCTTTGCAATTTAATGAACATGTTTGACCTCTAGCTTTTAAAAGTCAATCATGGGTCTCATATTTCCTCATTATAAAACTTACTGTAAAGCTACAGTAATCAAAACAGTGTGGTATTAACACAAGGACAAATACAGACCAAAGGAATAGAATAGAAAGCCCAGAAATAAATCCTCACATGTATGGTTAAGTGACTTTCAGGAAGGATGCTAAGACATTAAATGGGAGAAGGGATAGTGCACTCAACAAATGGTGCTGGGAAAACTGGATATATATAACTAAAAACCCAAAATTGAACCTTTATAGCATATATTGGGGCTTCCCAGGTAGTGTTAGTGATAAAGAACCTGCCTGCTGATGCAGGAGACCCAAGAGATGCAGGTTCAGTCCCTGGATTGGGAAAATGCCCTGGAGAAGGGCATGGCCATCCACTCCAGTATTCGTGCCTGGAGAATCCCATGGACAGAGAAGCCTGGCAGGCTATAGTCCGTAGGGTCTCAGAGTCAGACATGACTGAAGTGACTTGGCACATACATAGTGTATATTAAATAATTAACTCAAAATGAATTAAAGACCTAAACTCTTTGGATAAAACATAGGGGAAATGTTCCATGACATTGAATTTGGCAATGATTTCTTAGATATGGCACCAAAAGCACAGGGAATTAAAAAATTGGTAGATTGCACTTCATCAAAATTAAAAACTTCAGTGCACCAAAGGACATTGTTGAGAGTGAAAAAGAAACATAGAATGGGAAAAATGGTTACAAATCATATATTTTACAAAAGTTTAAAAACAAGCCACAGTGCTTGAATAGACCTTTTTCTTTGGAAAATTTACAAATAGCCAAATAAGCCCATGAAAATATACTCAGCATCACTAATCGTTAGGGAAACATACATCAAAACCACAGTGAGATACCACCTCACACTTATTAGGATGAAAAAATAATAAATGTTAGCAACAATGAGAAATTGGAACCCTTCTTTTGCTTTTAGGAATATATAGTGGTGTAGCCATTGTGGAAAACAGTACTATGGTGGTTCCTTAAAAAATTGAAACATTTGACCCAGTAATTCAAAAAAAGTGAAAGCAAGAACTTGAACAGATAAACATCTACACTACTTTTCACAGCAGCAATATTCACAAAACCCAAAAGGTGGCAGCAGTTCAAGCATCCATGGTGGGGTGAACAGATAAACAGAATATGGTATATTCATACCATATAATGTTATTTAGCCTTAAAAAGGAAGGAAATCCTTATATGTTCTGCAATGTGGAGGGACCTTGAGGACATTATGCTCAGTCACAAGAGAACAAATGTTGTATGGTTCCATTCATACAAGGTACTTAGAGTACTTAAATCCTAGAGACAGAAGAATGAAGGTGACCAGGGATTATGGGAAGGAGGAAATGGGGAGTCAGCTGTTTATGGGTGCAGAGTTACAGTTTAGGAAAGTGAAAATGTTCTGGAAATGGATAGTTGATGATAGTTTTACAACAGTATGAATGTACTTAATGCCACTGAACTGTGCACTTGAAAACAGGCAGCATATTAAACTTTGTTATATTCATTTTACTACAGTAAAATGTCAGTTGCATGGATAATGTCTAAAATGTCAGTTACATGGATAATGTCTTGCTTATAATTTGGTTAGTAGGTCTCAGTAGAGTCATTTTTTTAAGTCTTGGCCTGCAAATTTTTAAAGTTCATTTTCAGTAACAGTTGTAAAATAAACCATTTCTGTTCAGCTGTAAGAAAGAATGTCGGGACAGATTTTGATAGAATATGTGAAACTATTCTCTTCAGCAGCAGGTGGTTTGAATTGTGTGAGTAGGGCTGCATTTCTAAATTATTCCTTGAAAGGTATTCATGTGGCTGGGATATGGCATGTGCATATAAATGCCTATTAAATAAGCATATGCCACTGTAGTATTTGGTTGATAGTAACCGTCTATCACAATAAACAGGTTCTTTACCTCTTTGAAAAATTTTTTAAATTAAATGTAATTCTCCCAAGGATAATGAACATTCTGTCTTTGGCATAAAAATTATTGATGCTTTTTTTGTGGGTGACCCTCTTAATGCACTTTGTTGGGGGTACCTGCTTGGGCTTTGAAAAAGCATTTATGTGCCTAAGCTGAAAAGGTTTCAGGATATTGTAGTGGGAGCGGTGGAATAAACAGAGATGCATCATATGTGAAGCCTGCCTTCAGGGAGCTTGCTATGTTAGGGAAAAAATGAAGATATTGATAATTGGCTATCTGCAAGTTGGAAAATGAAAAAGGTCTCCAAAATAGATGGTGAGAGATAGGACTGTTTTAGAAGGACAGAGAGTGTTCTCATTTTGGGAGCTTCTGGAATCTGAGACTACTTCTTGGGGAGAAAAAGCAAGCCCCGAACTCTTGGTCCGTTTCTAGGACAGAGTGGAGAGGACTGAGGGGAGTTCTGTGGTGTGTGGCTGGAATGGGAAGACCGTGGAGGAGAGCAGATCAAGGAGGTGGTCTGTTGATGCCTGTTATGCTCTGTGCATAGTTAAGTGCAATGAAATGCCAGGGAATCCATAGGGAATCGAACAAAAAGAAACCGTGTGGGTTTATGAAAATGAAGCATCCATAATGTGTATTGCATTGGAATCACTGTGCAGTTACCAAAACACAGAACTTGTGACTGATAGAGATATAAAAGGGAAATGTGGTGAGAATGATAAAAATAGTCTTCCCTTTCTTAAATCCTTAAAAAATTCAATTTTGATTCTAAAAGAGGTTGTAGGTATTGACTGTTTTCTATGTTACTTTTATATTTTTGAGAGCATAATATACAATTTTGTATTTTGCTTTAATTCACTTGATGTTAATATAACATTTCATCCTGTTTTAACCCAACTCTGCAAGGTTATATAACATGACATTTTCAGCATGAACTTTAGTGATCAAGCAGTGGGAATTTTAAATCCTGGATCAAATTGACTGTCCTTTGAACAGAGCTGGGATGGCACCAGACCAGAATCTTGGGGATTCATTGATCCACAGTCTAGCTGTGGAAGCAGCGCCACCTTTTGCTCAGTGCTGTGCTCTTGAAGACTCCTGCATGCAGACTGGGTACTCCTGGAGGACTTTGGGGTAGAGTCTGGGGAGGAACTGCAGCATCTCCTGTATTTTCCTCTGTTTTGGTTCAGGGAGAGCAGTCTTAGCAGCAGTGGTGCGCTGGATGCTTTGCAAATGTTTGACTGAATATTGTTGTTTTGCCAGATCAAGATCTAAAAACAGATGCTGTCTGCTCTCAGACCACCAGTTGAAGACAGAATACCTGAGGCCAGTGCAAACCTCAGATCATTTTTAAAATAGTTTGTGGTTTATATGCAGAGACATGCAAATAAATTCTTTTGTTCCTCCTTGGAAGTCCTACTGATGGTAGCCTGGCATCTGCTTGGGTGTTTTGGGGACAAAATTAAGATTAATATCTCATTAACAGTTTTTTCAGAGAAGGCAATGTCACCCCACTCCAGTACTCTTATTTTTCCCCTCCCAGTTAGGTTGCCCTCCAAGATTCAAAAACTTCCCCCAGACCCGCCAGTGCGAGGGTTTCCTGGTGTTTGGAAACTTCCTCTATTAAGACTCCCTTCCCTGGACGGATCTCCATCCCTAGCTCTTTTGTCTCTCTTTTTATCTTTTATATTTTGTCGTACCTCCTTTCGAAGACAATGGGCTGCTTTTCTGGGCGCCTGATGACCTCAGCTAGCGATCAGAAGTTGTTTTGTGAAGTTTGCTCTGTGTTCAATTGTTCTTTCGATGAATTTGTAGGGGCGAAAGTGGTCTCCCGTCCTATTCCTCCGCCATCTTGGCTCCTCCCCCCACCCCCACTCCAGTACTCTTGCCTGGAAAATCCCATGGACGGAGGAGCCTGGTAGGCTGCAGTCCATGGGGTCGCGAAGAGTCAGACATGACTGAGCGACTTCACTTTGACTTTTCACTTTTATGCACTGGAGAAGGAAATGGCAACCCACTCCAGTGTTCTTGCCTGGAGAATCCCAGGGATGGGGTCTCACAGAGTCAGACACGACTGAAGTGACTTAGCAGCAACAGTTTTTTTGCAGAGTTTCTTAAAATTCTTCAGTAGTGCAGCATGGCTTTTAATGGCCTTATGGTTTGTTTCATTTGGCTCTCATTGTCTGATTTTAGTAAACTATAGGAATGCCATATAGAAAGGAAATCTTCACATGACCCCAAACTTAATTTTGTTTCCATCAGCTATCCTGAGTTGCTTGCAGGGTCAGAGTTAAGATGCAGCTTTCTCTGTCTTTAGCTGTTATCTGAATCCTTTATGCCAACCTGCTTACTTAGATGTGGAGGTGATTAAGATGTTTTATCCAGCTGTTCATGACGAAGTTACTAACTTCTAGTTAGGGTGTTTCTAAAGAAAAATGGGTTAAATTTAATAGAGTAATACAAAAAACATATATTTGCTAAATCATGGGATTTATGTGGTTAATTATTAACAAGGAAGGGCAGTGCCGATACAATAGTAGCGCGTGGGAAGAGCTTGTTGAGTTCACATGAGGCAGAGTCCTACAGAGATCGGGGTGGGGAGGGGTGCAGTGACGGATCCGAAAGTAGGACTGCCTATTCCATCCTAAAGGTGGCTGCTCGGGCTGGAGTAGGGAGGGCTGCTCCAGAAGGCATCAGGCAAGGGAGAGCAAGCAGACGGACCCTGCGCTAGCTCCACTGCAAACCTGAGCGCCAGGTGAACATAAATGTGGTGAAGAGTTGCCAAACACTTGGTGATAACATACAGGAAAAACTTGACAAGTGTACATACATCACTAAGTGCACTCATGAAAATAGAAAGCATTATATCAAGAAATTTTTGCATCAAATATAAGAGTTAATACTATAAAATATAAATACTAGCAGATTAATAGGCACTGGAAATGAAACACAGTTCATACAAGAATAAATAATCATGAGCCCATCTGGTAAAAGATTGTTCGTAAGATTCTTTTGAGGACGATCAGAAAACATTTGAAAAGTCATACAATGCATTGTTTGGCTATTTGGATAGTAATTTAAATTTACCTTTTAGAATTCCATGATGATTCTTCTCCTAGCTCTTCATAGGCTGAGCCCAAGAGGCAGTGTGTGGCAGAAGGTATGGGCCGGTGTTCACAGAAGCCTTTGCTGTGAGGGCCGGCCAAGCCTGGGCCTTTTGGACGGGTGCCATTCACGGCTGCCCGCCATGTGCCAGGCGTAGTGGGAGCCTTACACATTTTCTCACTTGACCTTTACTACAACACTAGCATGTAGGTTCTACTAGCTAGTATTCTCACTTTTCAGGTAAGAAAACCAAGGCTTGGGATGCTAAAGTCAAACTGGGGTCAGAATAGCATTGCTCTGAGTCCAGCACTTTAGGGAGGACGTGCCTCGCATGCAGTCACCATGGTGAAGACCATGTGGAAGCACAGGAACACTCTTTAGAGCCCAGTGACAATAGTGAGAGACGAGTAGTATATACACAGTGGTTTCATCTGTGTAAAAGTACGTGCCGTTGGGGAAGATAACATGTAAACAGTATGGATAGTTGCATTCTGATGCGGTGGCAGAGAGGACCATGGATAATCTGTTTGCCTTCCACATGAGCTAAAGGAGGAGTATCTGATAACTTATGAAAGTGCTTATTAGTAAAATGCATTTTTAAACGGGGCATCTTAATTTTTTCTAGTGGAATGGTGTCAGTGTTAATCCTTCTCTCTTTCTCTGGGTCCAGGTGGCACTGGTGTTCCCCAACAACGACCCTGCTGCCTCCATGGTGGCTTTCTATGGCTGCCTGCTGGCCGAAGTTGTGCCTGTGCCCATTGAGGTGCCCCTCACCAGAAAGGTAAAGAACCCGTCTTTCTATTGAGGCCTCTCGGCCAGGAATGTCAGCTTGGTCATACTGACAGGTTCTGTTGTGGGGTCGGAATGTGCAAACAGTGTCTGTAGAGCTTTCCTCTCAGCAGCATGTGTATCGGAGAGCCCAGGGCTGCCTACCTTGTCTCTGAGACTCTGCAGTTCTCAGCGGCCGTCCCAGCCCTGACTCTGTGGTCAGCTCAGTGGCCAGAGTCAGCTGCTGCTGGTGGTGATGCCTTCTGTGTGTTGAGCAGGGTGATCTGCCAGAAAGCCAGGCATTCCAGTGTCTTGTTTTTCAGTGTCACTGTGCTAGAAATCTGAGTAAATGGTAGATTTTTTACTTATTTTTCAGGGGTGGCAGTTGTCGCATTTGTTTGGGTGTTAGGATGTTGTCAAGTCCCAGGTTCAGCTATAATTTGTTGAATCTTATTCCAAAAGAAGGAGAAATAACTTATCTTCCTGTCACAGTTGTAGTGTAGTCCAGTGTCAGAATCCTACACAGCAGTGTGTGTCTTTGTACACGTAAATGATTGCTTCTCGCCCTACAGACCTGCAATAACTTTGGAAGGGAGGGTGAGGAGAAGAGGCCCTGCTGGGGTTGGTGCTGGTGGTCCCCACTTTCTGATACTGTGGAAGGAGACGGAGCCCACGGCTCTGGGGTGGTTCTGCCACTGCTTGTGTTACAGCGTGTGCCCTGGGGCTCCACCCTGGACTCACCTGGCATCGTTTAGCACATCATGAACAAACTGTGTGAGGTGACTCTCCCAGCTCCAAAATGCAGGGCTTTCACGTGCTCAGGCTCGGAGTTTCCAGAGAATCTTCCAGCTGTCTTTGTGACTACTCTGATATAAAAATGGGGAAATGCCTCAAGGTCTGCTCATGATGTGTGGGTGCCTTTGAAACTCTGCTCCTGGGGTCGGAAGGAGAGAACGTGGGATTACTTAGAACATGATTGGGGAATGGTTGCTGTTTCCATTTCCTGGATACAAAACAGGCAAGTTTCCTACTTGGCCTCCTGGGTGCACTTGCAAGGAGGGCCAGGCCCTCCTGGGCAGGGCTGCAAGTGGCTCTGGAAGCGGGGTGAGCCCTGCAGCCCCTGACATCAGAGCCCCTTCTAGTGGCCTGAAGAGAACCCTATTTGCAAGGGTTTGCCTCTAGCATTCCTGGGGTATGATACACATCCAAAAAAGTGCTTCCTCATCTCCCTGAGCCCTGTGACCTTCACAATTGACAGGAAATGCAGAAGGGCTTGAGGATTCTCTGAGTAGTAACCGTGGTCTCCCCTGTGGTTCTCTGGTGGTGTTGCTGACCTGGGAAGGTGCTCAGGCATGTGATGCTCCTTTTTAATTGACACCTAATGCAGGGGACTGGGGTCCTTTGGATTCTCCAATGATAATCAGGAGGGATTTGTAGGCTTACAAGTGGAGGCACAGATCCTCCATGAGCACTTGAGTGGACCCCTGAATGTTTTATCATTGTGAGTGGCAGTTGTTGTTCACTCATCACACGTAGAAAGTAGATTTGTCTACTTTATGTCTAGAGCCTGCTGTCTTCCAGACCAGGGCTGGTTTGCAGAGGAAAATCACTTGAACACAGAGGCACCTGCCTCTGCCACATCCTGACCATAAGTTGCTGAGCGAAGGCGCGGTGTCTCATCTGTACCTGTTGGGGTTCCTGAGACTTGCCTGTAGGCGTCGTAGATGTTCCCGACTGCAGCCTGCCACGTGGCTCTGTCTCACTTATCTCCCGGGCCCATTCAGACCCTCATATGGTCACTATTAATCTCAGGAATGGGAACCCTCTCTCAGAAGAAAAAGCTGGGGTTCCTTCCTGGCCCTCTGTCCTTCAGAACACGCCTGAAAGGACAGAGCCAGGAGATGACTCACAGGCTGTCATGAAGCCAGAAACTGTGCATTGGGCTCATTCTGTGCTTTCAGAACATAATGTTTGTCCTCAGAAAACTTTTCTTACTTTTAAATGAAAGAATGCACTGGCTTGGTTGCCATCAGCACGAGGTGAGACACGCACAGTGGCACTGGTGATGAAGTTTTGAATCTTCGAGAACCAAATTTTCCAAATTTTGAGTATTGCTGAGCCTCATAGAACAACTTAGTCCCATGTGTGTATCTTTGTCCTTATTCTTGGAATGAGGGGTGAAGGCTGGTTTTTCACTCGAGAAGTTCATAGTAGTAGAAAGGGATATCCCTCTGGGACTTGGCCACAAACTGGACAGGGGCACAGGGGAGCCTTCAGGGTCAGTGCCACAGTGGGCAGGTGTAAAGACGTTGGTTGTCCTCTCCACCCTCTTGAGGGTGCTGAGCTGGTCTTTGAAGGCCATATGACAGTAGAGTAGACCTGTGGGCTGGCGGGAGCTCTGAAGCCAAATTCACATCTGCCAGCATGGGGAGCGGCAAGGCTATACCAGAGGTGGAATTGTGCATTCAGTTCCATAGACCAGAGACCGAGTGAGCCCTGAGACCACAGGAGTCCAGCCCGGCAGCACCTGGAGCATCAGTATCTGCCTCTGGACTCAGGGGGGGCTCGCTGTCCTGCCCCAGTGCAGACTGTCCGTACCTTAGAATCTAGCGCATAATCCACTTGCTGAGAAGCTAGCAGTTTGGGCAGACAAACATCAAAATTGGAAAAGCACCAGCTAGTAGTTTCAGGGCCACAAATACAGAGTTCATGAAAGAGGTCTTCCATATACTCACCTCACATTTACTAGAGAGAATCCTTCTCATGAGTATGCTGTCTGACTGGGAGACTGAGATGGGACTGGGTAGGGGATGGTCATGCTGCTTGAGTGTGGGTGTGGAGAGACTGCCTAGCAAGTAACGACACTCATCAGCTCTGTTGGAGAAAGGATGTCAGTGAGGGGAGAGGTTTGCACTCAGAGGTGGTCCGCCTTTTCTTCCACAGCAGAGGAGAGTTTGTGAGATTTTGTGGCCCTACAGCTCAGCTTTACAGAGGAAGGGCCCCAGCCAGCACAGGCCAGAAGGAGCCTTTCCAGGGAAAGTCGCACAGGCAGCATGGGAGAGGGGAGCACTCCAGCCGCAGGACAGTGATTCTCGTGCCTCCTGAGCAGCTTCTGTGGAGCCTTTCCCACACGGTGGCGTGGGGTGTGGGTGGGCTCCCAAGGATCGGGCTCAGGGCGCTGACCCGGAGTCCAGGAGAACTGACCCATGGAGCGCTGAAGATGGAGGCTCTGGGGTCAAGCTGGGCTTAGCTTCAGGGGTCCAGGTGTGTGAAGGAGACTCTGGGGGCCCTCTGAGAGCAGGCGGCGGGGTCTCATCTCAGCCCAGTGAACAGGCAGGGTTGGCCCTGCAAAGTGGGCATGCACCTGGACCTCTGAGTAGAGTTTCCAGACCAAGAAGACGCTGAGGAGCAGGTGCAAAGCTGAATTTCATGGTAGCCACGGATCCTGATCCTGGTTACTCTCAACCCCTCCTCTGTGTTTTAGGGTCTTTCGGAGGAGATGTTAGAAAGACGGGACCTAGGGGACAACAGGCCTCCATTGTGAGCCCTGGCAGGTCTGACAGTTGCCCTGGGCCTCCCCTGAGCCACTTTGAGTGCCCTGTTTGTAGGTGGTCCCTGAAAGTTCATGATCACAGAGAAGTGCCTTCCTTTCCCTGAACCTGGCTGCAGAGTCATCTCCCTGCCCCTGGCCTGGTCCAGCTTTTGATGATGTGATGCCTGCATTCACAGTGAAGTGATAGATTATATAATTCTCTTTGAAAAAGCTCTACTTGAAGGAAAAGTCTCACAAGGTTCCTGGGATGGGAAGGTCCCCATGCATCAGGGGGAGCATCAGGCCGCCTCCCCTTCTTGGGGCTCAAGGCCATGTGGAGGCTGGCCATGCAGGATTCTTTGTAGAGAAGAGCTTGTCAGTCTGCAGTGAGATGTGGGAGCTAGGCACTGGGAAGATGTGATTCTGAGATGTTGATGCTGCTGATTTTACTGGAGGGGGAAGGAAGGAGCTGATGGCCTCACCACAGTCCTGATGTTTCTGTTCCAAGAACGCTGGCTGCGCCACAGCTTTGTTTTCTGAATCATAGCTGGAGGGAGTGCTGGGAGTAAGGAAAGTGAATTAACTGACTTGTGGGCAGCTGGGTGCTTGGGATGGCAGTGCCCAGGCCTGCCTGTCCCACAGTGTCTGCTCCCAAATGCTGCTGCTCAGTCCGTGCGGTGGTGCCCTCACTCCATGATGGCATGTTTGTTTCCGTGGTGGGCATAGGTGTGATCATAGACTTTTTGGGGTCAGTGTCCTGACCAGAGGCATGTTCTTGGATCCTCTCTGCGGCCCATGGTCATGGTGTTGTTCAACCGGAGGGGAATGAAACGAGACCCCATGAGCGCACCAGCATACACCAAGCTCCCTGTGTGCATCCCTCACAGCAGGCCACAGGGATGGTGCAGATGACAGGACTGAGGCCAAGCTTGTGCCCTGTCCAAGGTTAGGCAGTGGGCAGAGGACATGAGGTTTGGCCCCCACCATGCAGACGTCAGCTGAGCCCTGACTCTGAGCCTCTGTTGAGGGGTTGGTGCCATCCCAGGGTGAGACCATGCTTTGTCAGGAAAGTGCCATCACCTCTACTTGTGACCTTATCTCCTTGCTGCCGTCTCTAGGATGCAGGAAGCCAGCAGATCGGGTTCTTGCTTGGAAGCTGTGGGGTGACTGTAGCCTTGACAAGTGATGCTTGCCATAAGGGGCTGCCAAAGAGCCCGACGGGGGAGATCCCACAGTTCAAAGGTAAGCCCGTGCTGGGTGGGGAGGATGTGCCCCATGGCCTGTGCTAACACGCTGTCCACACAGGAGGTCTCCCAGCCTGCATGTGGTGGGCTCCAGCTCCAGGAGTCTCACAGCACCTTGGCCATGCCCTTAGACTTGGTGGAAACACAGAGACTTGGTCTGGCCTGTGCTGCTGTGGATCTTGCCCTTAGCAGGAAGGTGGGGTTACACCTGTCTTGTGAGTGATGCTTGCCTGAAAGGAACTTGTTCTTTATTTCCAAGGTTGGCCAAAACTATTATGGTTTGTCACAGAGTCAAAACATCTCTCTAAACCTCCTCGAGATTGGTTCCCGCACATTAAGGATGCAAATAATGACACTGCGTATATTGAGGTGAGTCGCTAGGTCTGGACAAGGTGGGGAACTGAGCGACACGTGCTGCAACCCTTACACAGCTCAGGGTCAGCGGTGGCTGTGGGCCTGGAGCTCTACCCTCCTGGCCCCTTCTCATTGCAGTACAAGACATGCAAGGATGGAAGTGTGCTCGGGGTGACCGTGACGAGGATCGCACTTCTGACCCACTGCCAGGCCCTCACACAGGCGTGTGGCTACACAGAAGGTATGGGTAGACTCCTGCTGGGGGAACCTGACCCCAGATCCATCCCTGAGAGGTGTGTATTGTGCCCACCAGTCATGAGGAGAGTCAGATTAAGTTTCTCCCCGGCTACCCTGACGGTCCATCTGTCGGACTGTTTAGTTGGCGTCTTACTAGTCTGCAACCAAAACAGACACCGTAGGCTGGGTCTTGAACTGCACGTGTTGCCACCTCACAGTCTGGAGGGTGGAGCCCAGGGCCCAGAGCTGCAGGCCCTGGTTCCTGGCCTGCGACGGTGCCTCTGGCTATGTCCTCACAGGGCCTCCTCTGTGTGCCAAGGGAGCTCTAGAGCCTCTTCCTCTCCTTGTTAGGACACCATTCTGTTGGCCCTGCCCTATGAGCTCCTGTAACCTAACTGTCTCCTCAGAATCCCATCTCCACACCTGAGTTAGGGCTCCAGGGTAAGAATTGGGGAGAAAACAGTTCAGGCCATAACGCATAGTTGATATGGTTGGAGTGTGTTCGCCCCTGGATGCACACCAGAACCTCTTTGGGGTCTTTATAGACATGCCCCGTGCTACAGTGCACCCCTTCCCTGCACTGCCTCAGGGGTTCTGGGGCTGCACTTCACAGTTGAGCGTTGGTTTCCATGATGTGCTTTCCTTGCACTGCTTGGGGTGGTCTTGGGAGCACATGGATAGAGTGACTGCGGATAATAACCATGCTGACAGTGCTGACGGTTCCTGGGAGGAAGGATCAGATCACATACCCATAGCTCCCTCCACTGGAAAGGCTGCCATCAGGTCTCCCCTGGCCATGTCGCAGGCTGCCACCATGCTGGAGTCTATCAGGAGTCATGGAGGAGACACTTTGCTCCTCTTGCTGTTCTCATTCTCTCTCTTACCGTCCTTCTGGCAGTCTCCCTTCTTAAGAACAGTGCACTCTCTCAGGAGATGCTCACTGATGTCTGGTTCCTGGACAAGTGTCCAGATGTTTCACACATGAAGACACATCACTTCTGATGATCACCACCCTGTTTGTTAGTTTGAATTCCAATTTTTTTTCACCACCTCATGACCTATATTCCTTACCCTAATTTCCCAAAGGTCCAGAGCCGTCACTCTTGTGGCCATTGGGGAGGATAGATAATGTAAATTCACTCCCTAATTCTCTGCATTTAAAAATCTTGCATAAAATAGAATCCAGGCTGTGTATTTTGAATGTCCCTTTTTGAAATGGGGGCAAGGCACCTGATATGAGACTTTGGCGAGCATTCTAGTGGTGTGTTTGCTGGAAGTTACCTCCTCCTGCAAGTACACAGCATTTCCCTCTCTTGAGAGAACTTATGAGGGACATGAAAAGAATATTTTAAGAACGAAAAAGGGAGGGGGAAAACACATTATAAATGGAGAAGGAGTTGGGTGTTTTAAGTGATGGTTGAAGAGCTGCTGCTCCAGGCAGGCCACTGTCTCTGAGGTTCTGGCTGGAGGCTGCAACATTTCTACAGAGACAGTGGAGTAATACTTTTCTAAGACCCATTCCTTGCCGCTGATGTGATACTGAACTTCCTTTGTCGTTTGGTCCATGAGTGTCTTTTGTTAAAATCTTTGACTCTCTATTTGTACAGCTGAAACGATTGTGAATGTGTTAGATTTCAAGAAGGATGTTGGGCTCTGGCATGGAATCCTCACGGTGAGTGTGACGGCCTGGCTCTGATGTCTTCTTTACCTTTGCATGTGCTGAGTGTCAGGGTTAGAGTCATGATCTGACCCCTTCCTCCCACGTGATAAAGAGAAGCTGCCATTTCTGGAGGTCTTCGGTTGTCAGCTAACATAACTTCCAGAAGCTCAGCAAACCAGAGGGTTGGTAGCTACTGGTGTGTGTTGGGGGCCACACTCTGGGGCTGCAGTGTGAGCATGGCATTTCTCAGGCTTAGGAAAGTTTAGGGTCTCCTTTCCCGTGGGCAGCAGCTCAGATTGTGCAGAAACCTTGACGTCTTGCGTTTGGGTCACTTTGCTCACACATCTGATTTGGCTGCAACATTCTTGTTTTTCTCTCTGAGTTGTCTAATGAACGTTTCAGGAATTATGCTACAGGGGAAAAGTAGTTACAGATTTCCCCTTGGTCAGAACTTAAGCATGAGTTGTAGAGGCCTCATTTTTGTTAGTGCCTTGTGAGAAGTGATGGCCTTCTTCAGGATGTGTTCAGCATCACTGCTTAGAGGCTTCCTGTGTCTGTTGTACATGTGATGATTTCCACTCACCCATTTTTCTTTTTAAGTTTCTTTTGCTGAAACTATATCTTTTTTGAAGCAAAAAATTCTAGTAGTTTTACACAAGTGATTGGAACATAACTCTAAGAAATAGGATTTGTTATTTCCTGATAAACCAGAAGTTATTAGTACAAGAGCTTGCAAGCATCCTGCAGACAAAGGTTTGGGGCTCCAGCTGAGCAACTTCTTCCCATGAGCGCCTGGACCCTCATCAGTAAGACGTACAAGCACAGCCCCCACATGCACACTCTCCTTGTCTGCTGGTGTTGCAGGAAGAGCACAGCCCAGAGGACCCAAGTTGGACCTTGGTCCTTCTCCTGTGGCTTGTGACACAGCACATTGCCTGCTCCCGTGCCCAAGAATCGTTTGTTGCCCAAGTCACTCTGAGCCTCGGTTTTCCCATCTGTCTAGTGGGAATGATGACCTTGTATGAGAACCATATGGCCTCACGTGTAATGAATACCTGGCCCATCTACTTGCTTGACAACTGTTGCTCTTGGAGTTCTTTTGTGACAGTCTTGCTTTCAAGAGCTCTGTGATAGATCTCGTGAATGTTGTCATCTGCTGGTTGCTGTGCTGTGGGTTACTGCCCCAGGACCTGGCAGTTGCGGAGTCTCTTTCTGGTTGCCACCTTCTGGAGCAAGGCTGGTTGGTCCCTGACTAGACAGCTCCCACTCTTCCCAAGCATCATCTTTATGGTCAAAAATGCCTCACGCCTGCATGGAGTGGGCAACAAGCCTGAGGTGTGGGTGCTGGTGGTGAGCAGGCTCACGTGTACAGGGAGGGGCACATGGTCATCTTCCAGCAGAGCTGCTCCAGAGCTTCTGTGCCCTCTCGTACCACTTCCACCCACAAAGGGGGCAGAGCTGACAGGATAGGTTTGTCTAGTGCTTCCCCCATCGTGGTTCCTTCTTGCCAGCTCAGGGGGTGCAGCCACAGAGGATGAGTATGAGTATGAGCCACGTATGAGTCCTGGCTGCAAGTGTGAGTACCGACCCATTTACTTAAAGAGGTAGTATTTGTCATCCATTTAAAGAAATAGGTGCCTTCCCTGGCCCGAGCAGCTCAGGCGGCCAGGAGCTTGAGGGGCACACTCTCCCTGGGTGCAGTGCGCCTTCTCCCCAGGTCCTGGTCTACATGAGCCAGGCCAGATAGAAGAGTGTGGGGGTTGAGACAACTCTCCACTGCTGCTTGGAGTTCAGTGTAACATTTAATAAAGGAAATTAATTTTGTGAATAAAAATGAATATAGAGTACACTAGAGAGTTAAGCTTCAGTACTGAAAGCCCAATAAAAAATCATTGTTTCACTTAAGTTTTTCTAAGAAAAGGATTTGAACTTAGACTCTTAAGTTGTATCAGTAGAAGCTGGGGACGCCAAGACACCCTCTGAGGAGTCACCTCCATGCCCACAGCCTCTTGGAGGGTCATGCCCATGTGGACCTTCCCTCACTGCCCACTGCTCACCCCCTTCATGGGATCCCCACACCACCCTACTGCCTGCTCACCCCTGTATCCTGCTTCCAGAGCGTCATGAACATGATGCATGTGATCAGCATCCCCTACGCACTGATGAAGGTGAACCCGCTGTCCTGGATTCAGAAGGTCTGCCAGTACAAAGGTGCGTTGGGGGGCTGCTGCTGAGTGTCAACACATCTCACGATACACGCGGTCACTCACTGCACCTGCTTCTCCTTTAGCAAAAGTGGCCTGTGTCAAATCCCGGGACATGCACTGGGCCTTGGTGGCGCACAGGGACCAGAGAGACATCAACCTCTCCTCTCTCCGGATGCTGATAGTGGCCGACGGCGCAAACCCCTGTAAGTGAAGGACCAGGCGGGTAGGAGCCTCATTCCCTGGGCTTTGGTTTCCCCTTTTCTAGTGTTCACCTTAGTGAAAGAGAGTCTTCCCAGGGCCTCAGGACACCAGGGCCTGAAGGTCCATCCACAGCCCTGGGGTGGAGTCCTGGCTTTTCTCCTTCCTGATTCTGAGGAAATGTGACTTGTTAAACTCCTCTCTTTATGTGACTTGTTAAACTCCTCTCTTTCTTTTAGCTGCAAGATGGTATGCAGTCATCAGATATGCAACAGTCCCTATGTACAGTTCCTTGGGATATAATAAGTGCTCAAGAAATACTAATTATAATTATTTTATGGTCCATAGCAGGTTTATTGATCAGGAAATTTACTTTGTCATTTTTAATGGAATTTCATTATCAAATTCTATACCAGAAACTACCTGGATAAAATAAGTGAGCAGTTGCACAGAATACTATTAATATACCTTGAGAAATATTTCAGTCAGTTGCAACAGAAACTCTGCTAGCTTGTTTTTTATGAGAAGAGTATATAAGCTAGAAGCAAAGTGAATGAATGAAAATGAGTGAATGAATATTTCTGATCACATTAGTAAACTTTGCAGCATCTGTGTTTCTAAATTAAAGCATCATACACTTAAAGAACATCTGATCTGCAAACAGGTAACTTTGTATATTAGTTTTATAAGTGATTCTTCTGTTTACAATAGAACTCCATAAATTATGGGCTGTTTAATACACAAATGGTTTTACCCATAACTCTGCAGAGTAATAGGTCTTAAAAGAAGCAAGGTAAACTTGTATTAGGAACTAGTTTAGCTGATAGGTTCCTGATAACTGTATATCTTCATCTCATCACTCATATTAATATAGAGGAATGTTTTCTTCATTTAGTTGGGTTTAGAGTTCTCCCTTGGAACATGCATATGGAAAATGGTAGAATAAGTCTCAGAAAAGTTATTAAAGTTAAGTTCTTCAGTCAGCAAAAATGTATGGTTAAATATAGAAGTTGCATTTTTAAAATTCTTGAGTTACGTGTTTGAGAATAATATTAGCTTTCATTGTAACAGAAATGGTAGGTTATGTTAAATGAAGTATTTGTCCATGCTGCCTAATTGCACACTGCCTAAATTATAACCTCAAAGGCATTTTATATTACGGGATATTTTTAATTGTCCACTGTCATCCCCTCTATCTGTCTAGGGTCTATTTCTTCCTGTGATGCATTTCTCAACGTCTTCCAAAGTAAAGGTCTACGCCAAGAAGTCATCTGCCCCTGCGCCAGCTCACCAGAGGCTCTCACTGTGGCCATCCGGAGGTACAAATCCGTTAACTCAGTGGGCAGCCTGGGGAGGGGTCTCATTCAGCAGCTAACAGAGGCCTGGAAGTCTTCACAGTTTATCTTAGTGTGAGAATAAAAGTAGGACCCAACTTTCAAGATGAGGTTTCATTCTCGTATATGCTAGAATGGATTTTCTGAAATAGTCTAAATTCATTAGTTAGAAGCTTACTTATCACTCTGGAGATTCACTGTGATTCCCAGGTCAGTGGAAGTCTGTCTGTAGGTATGCTGAGCAATGAACCTCGTCCTGGCAGGTTATGCATATTTTCATTTGCTTGTATTAGGCTCAGGTTTAACTTGAAGCTCCAGTAATTTGGTCACCTGATGCGAAGAGCTGACTCATTGGAAAAGACCCTGATGTAGGGAGAGATGGAAGGCAAAAGGAGAAGGGGACAGCAGAAGATGAGATGGTCAGATAACATCACTGACTCATTGGACATGAATTTGAGCAAACTCCGGGAGATAGTGGAGGACAGGGAGCCTGACATGCTGCAGTCCGTGGGGTTGCAAAGAGTCTGACGCGACTTAGTATCTAATCAACATCAACAGAACAGAGTAAACAGATAAAATGAAAATTTTGTGGCCATCCCTTTTCCCTTTTACACATGGTTTTTATGTTGTCTTCATTTTTGGAAATTCTACATACACTGCACAGTAAACACTAGTTTTCTGAGCTTTTGAACTATTCAACAGCACTTCAGAGAAATCTGGGGCCTGGGGTCTCCTGCTGTGTGGAGCTGGGCTGCTGGGGCTCTTGCTAAGGTCAGGAAATGCAATGCCCTTGGTCCTAGGTCAGTCCAGCATCGCCGCCCATTTCAGAGCCATTGGTACCTATCAGAGACAGGCTGTGGTTATGGCTCATAAAAGCTGACTTTGCCCAGGGTGAGAAGGGCTAGAAGGGCCTGTCTGGATTTGTCAGTAGTTCCCAGAAACACATATGGAGAAAATAAACTTATGGTCACCAAAGAAGAAGGGGTGGGGGGAGAATAAATCAGGATTTTGGATTAACAGATACACACTGCTATTTATTGAACACCAGAGACTTTAGAGTAGTGATGCTTTAGAGTAGTGATCCCCGACCTTTTTGACACCCAGGACCAGTTTCCTGGAAGACAATTTTCCGTGGATGGGGAAGGAGGTAGAGAGGGACAGGTGGTGGTTTGGGGATGATTCAGGTGCATTGCTGTTTATTGTGCACTGTATTTCTATTATTATTACAGCAGCTCCACCTTAGATTATCAATCATTAGATCCTGAAGGTTGGGGACCCCTGCTGTGCTTAGCATGTTGTTCAGTTGTTCAGTCATGTCCAGCTCTTTGCGACCTCATGGACTATAGCATGCCAGGCTTCCCTCTCCTTCACCATCTCCCAGGGTTTGCTCGAACTCATGTCCTTTGAGTCAGTGATGCTGTCTAATCATCTCATCCTCTGCCACCCCCTTCTCCTTTTGCCTTCAACCTTTCCCAGCATCAGGGTCTTCTCCAGTGAGTCAGCTCTTCTCATTAGGTAGCCAAGGTATTGGAGCTTCAGCTTCAGCATCAATTCTTCCAGTGGATATTCAGGGTTGATTTCCTTTAGGATTGACTGGTTTAATCTTGCTGTCCAAAGGACTCTCAAGAGTCTTCTTTAGCACCACAATTCAAAAGCATCAGTTGTTTGGCACTCAGCCTTCGTTATGGTCCAGCTCTCACATCTGTATGTGACTACTGAGAAAACCATCGCTTTAACTATATAGACCTTCCTTTGTTGGCAGAGAGATGTCTGTGCTTTTTAATATGCTATCTAGTTTTATCGTAGCTTTCTTTCCATGGAGCAAGCATCTTTTAATTTCATGGCTGCAGTCACCATCCACAGTGATTTTGGAGCCCAAAAATACAAAGTCTCTCACTGTTTCCATATTTCCCCATCTATTTGCCATGAAGTGATGGGACCAGATATCATGATCTTACTAGTTTTTTGAATGTTCAGTTTTAAGCTCTTAGTGATTGTACACATGGAAGGTTTCTAGGCAGGAGGTAGGCAAGGCAAGGAGTTATTAGTGAAAGAAAAGAAAAAATGGTTTCTGTGTGGTATGTTTTATTCCTGTCTCCTTATCCTTTTGTGTGTCTGTTACAGGCTTTTGGTTTGTGGTTGCCATGAATGTCATATATATATATTTTTTTTAATTGGAGGATAATTGCTTTACAATGTAATGTTGGTTTCTGCTATACAATAGCATGAATCAGCCTTAAATTTGAAAAATACAGAATGCTTCCTGAATTTGCATGTTATTCCTGCACAGGGGCCATGCTAATCTTCTCTGTATCATTCCAGTTTTAGTATATGTGCTGCTGAAGTGAGCACTATATATTTCAACCTGTGTATATATGCATCTGTTTTAAGTTGATGGTCAAGTTTTCAGTAAGTTTGAGCACATTCTAAAAGCACTCCATTTTTACTCCCCCTCCCCTTTTGTTTTTGATGTCCTGTTTTACATTTTTTATTTTGGTGAGTTGCTTAACTGCTTATTGTGGATGTAGATGATTTTACTACTCTTGTCTTTGAACCTTCCTACTAGCTTCACAGGTGGTTGATCCACTACCTTTACCACTACCACTACGTGTTTGCCTTTACCAGTGAGATTTTTCTTTCATAATTTTTTATTTCTAGTTATGTCCTTTTTCACTTATAAAAGTCCCTTGAACATTTCTTGTAAGAATGGTTTAGTGGTGATGAACTCCTACAGCTTTGCTTTTCTGTAAAATTCTTCTCCCTTCTTCAAGTCTGAATGAAAACCTTGTGGGTAGAGTCTTCTTAGTTCTATGTTTTTCTTTTCAGCCTTCCGAGTATGTCTTGCCAAACCCTCTGGGTTGAAGAGTTTCACTGAAAAGTCGACTGATAGTCTTATGTGGGTTCCCTTGTATGTAACTAGTTGCTTTTCTCTTGCTGATTTTAAGATTCTCTCTTATCTTTAACCTTTGCCATTTCATTTCAGTATGTATTAGGGAGATCTCTTTGATTTCATCCTGACACCCACAGTGTTTCCTGGACTTCAAGGTCTGTCTTCTTTCCCAGGTCAGGAAAGTTCTCAGCCATTATTTCTTTAGACAGGGTTTCTATCTCTTCTCCTTCTGCGACCCTGTACTGTGAACATCAGCACGCTTGATGTTGTCCCAGAGGCCCTGTAAACTGTCCTGTCTTTCGTTTCTTTTTTCTTTTCCTGTTGGATGATTTTTACTACCGTGTTCTCCAGATGGCTGATCCATTCCACGTTCTCTAAGCTGAACTACTGGGTCCCTCTAGTGTCATTTTCATTTCTGTTATTCTTTAGTTCCGTTTGGTTCTTTTTACATTTTCTGTGCCTTTGGGGAAATTTCTTCATTCTTCCACTCAGTTCCTCCATTCTTCTCCCGAGTTCAGTGAGCATCTTCATGACCAGTAGTTTGAACTCTGATAAATTGCTGATCTCTGCTTCACTGAGTTATTTTTCTGAGTTTTTTTCATGGCTTTGACCAGGTGATGTCATGTCTTTGAGGTGCCCTGGGGTTCCGGAGATACAGCACCTGTAGGCAGCACACATCTGTCTGCAGTGCCTCAGAAAATGGTTTACTTTGTGCACTAAAGTGAACAGAGCACTGGAGATGACCGGCCTCAGACAGCCAGCAAATTCCCACGTGCTGAGATGCTCACAGAGGCTAATACTCCATTGTGCTACCTGACAACCTGTTTTGGTTCTGATGTCACTTGAAATCACAAACTTCATGCCCATCATACCTGGTAGGAGAGAGGTTCTAGGGGGCAGTTCAGGGTGCATTTCAAGACCAGCCAGGTGCTCGCCATGGTGTTATTTACCTTGAGTTTGTCCAAAACGTGTAAATTTGAAAAAGTGCTTTTCAGTCTTACCTTGATTTTCACAACCACCTCCTGTGATAGAAAGGGCAGAGGGTAGACTGACTTACTGATTACATCACTGTGGACCAGTTAGACCTGTGCCTACTCCCTGCACCGGGCACATCAGCCCCAGTGCCCGCACCCCGTGTCTGCTCTAGGCTGTGTGTAGCCACTGTCCCTCCTGCTGCCCCCCTCTCAGGCTTCACATGAGTTCCCTGTCCATGAGGAGTTCAGGTTAGATCCAGGGGCTTGTGAAAATTGGGGGCTGGTCTTCATCTCTTAGGGCTTGGCCACTATGGACTCAGTTCTCCTTTCATGTGGGAAGGAGAGGCGGAGGCCGAGTAGACGTGATTTTTAGTTTAAGCCTCCACTCCCGTCCTCTCTTACCATCCACTGGAGCCACGTGTAAGCACACCCCACACCTCCACCAGCTCCAGCATCCTGTCCAGTTTGCCAGGGGACATCCAAACCCAACACTTTCTTCCACTGCCTCCCTGAGTTCCCACCCTTCTGCCCTGCTGTCCCATCTGACCAGGAGCCACAAGGCCACACAGTCTGTCTGGTCATGCCCCTTGTTGGTCCCATCCTCCCTCCCTGTGGCCAGACCTCCTGGTCTCTGGTATGCTCCTGGGGCAGCATGGCTGAGGCCTGCCCTGACCACCCCATGCTCACATGACTTACTGTGATGCCCTCTCAGCATTTGCTTCCTTCTCACAGGCTGGCAGATTCACTGGTATATTATTGCTTATTCTCTGTCTCTGGCTGATGGTTGGTGTTTAGTGTATATTTTGTTAATAGATGAATAAAAGAAAAATGGAAAATACGTAAAGGGAGGCATAAAAGTCACTTGCTGTACACTTACAATGACCCTTTGTAATTCACCAGCAGCAAAGGCTGTGAAGAGTTCAGCCCTTTCCCGCATGTCTGTATACTGGATGTGTACACTCACCTAAGCAGAAAGATGTAGGTTTGCATTTTACCTGAGTGAAGTCATGTGGGTTTTTGTTTGTTTGCTTTAATTTCACTTGACTGACTAGGTGCAGCTAACTGCATAAAGTTATAGTATCATGATCTGATTCCCTGAGAAAGCAGCATCAGCAGAAAGG